CCGGCGCGGGGCTGCAGGCGGAGGGCGGGAGCCGCGGCTGGCTGGTTACGCGGCGGGATCGAGAAGGAGACTTAGAACACCCAAGCCATCCTGCACACACGCACGCACACACGCACGCGCACACACACGCGCACACACACACATACTCGTTACTCGCATGCAGTGATAGCACTCATTTTCCTCAAAATAATGGGTTCAAATTGTGGCAACTTAAGGAAAAAAAATCCAACTCTCGATCTGGAAGAGAGGAGGGAGGGGAGAGGATCGGCGTCGAGAGAGAAAAATCCAGCCAATTCCACCTTTCCTGGCTCCTCGAGTCGATCGTGGCGGAGGGCATGGCTTTCTCCGGGAGCTCCTGCTTGGACATCTGTGTGGGGAGCACTGGTAGCCATCCCCCACCTGCCAATCAGCCTCTGGAAAATGCACCCCTTTTCCAACTCCCTGAACCCCTTCCAGCAGCTCCACTCCCTGGAACACTTTTCAAGTTTCTCCCCAGCCTTTGCCCTCCCTGCCACCCAGGCCCAGACAGATGGGTGGGCAGGGGTGAAGGGTTGTGAGCAGTGCTCACAGCTTCCTCTTCCTCACCTCTGGGGGCCAAGGACCCTGTAGCTGGTGGGAAGAGGAGGGAGGCCAAAGTTTGCTTCCTTGGGTGATGAAAAAACAGGATGGGAACAAAGACCACTGCTAATTCCATAAACCCCCAAGGGCAAGGAGGAGGGGCTGCCTGGTGCCCCTGACCCCACGCAGTTTCTTTCCCCCCCAGAATTCCCAGCCCTTGTCCTCTTTGACGCTATATGAAATCTCAGCTGCTTGGGAAGTGGGTCTAGAGAGAGCATTCTGGGAGTGGAGGAATAGACAGTGTTTGCAAGGCTGTGTGCTGACTGGGAGTCCCAGGCAAGGCTGCTGTCAGGGAGCGGGTTTTCCAGAGGGAGCTGGTTGTGGGTGTGTGCGTGTGTGTGCGTGTGTGTGTGTGTGTGTGTGTAAGAAACGTGCACCTGCTTCGTGTAGGTGCTATTCCTGCCACCCTGGCTTACTGCGTAGCTAGTGGTGAGCCAGGCTGCCCAGCTGGGTCCTGAGTGCACCCTGTTTCTCCTGGAGGAGGGGAGAGAGGAAGGCTTGGGGAGGTAGGTGCTGGTCTCAGAAAGATGTGGGTGGTCTAATAAGTAGGTTCCTGACTAGGACAGGGGATTCCAGTCAGTGTTGGCCCAGACCCTGGGCCCTTTGTCCAGCTGCTCTTCTTCTTCTTCCCCCAGGCAAGAGATTCCCTAGGGGGCTCGGCCCTGCTCTAAGGTGTGGCCTTCACCATCCTGCTGCCCTAAGCCAGAAGCAGCTTCTCTCTGGCATGGTAGGGGCTGAGGGAGGAAGCTGGGTGGGTGTTCTGGGCCCACCGAGATCTTGCAGCCCTTCTTGGCAGCTCTCTGCAAGTAGATTCTCATTCTGAAGGGGCTGTTATAAAACCTGACCTTTTCTCCCATTGGTTTGAAAACCTAGCTTTCTGGGGTCAAGAAGAAAAGGAAATTATATTTAGTGGACTAGCAGTCGGCTCTCACGCTGCTGAGCTGTACACATACACCCCAGGCCCGCGGGACCCCCAAGCCTGGACGCCTTCTGAGGCCTGGGAGTGGAGGATAGTGATATGGGCCCCTCAGTTATCCTCAGCCCAGACCCCCATGTTGCTGGCAGGCTTTTCCCAGCGGGGCCAGCTCAGGAGTCCACTTCCTCTGTTCTCATGGTGCATGTACAGGGGTGGGTGTGAGAGTGTGTGCTGGTCAGAGACGCTCGCCCCAGTGTCTGCGACCCTGGTGGCTGAGTGGTGAGGAGTGGGGTCAGCAGCCGTTTTGGTCAGAGCCCTTCAGTTCCTTTCCCTTGAAAAACCCGTTTCTAAGACTGGGTGAGGGGTTAACTGAGTGACCACAGGACAATGAAAGGCTCTGCGTTAGGCCAGCCCTGCCTGAAGGAAAGGGTAGGTTGGTGTTAAGGAAAGTTTAGCCCCAGCCCCTTTCCTGGCAAGGAGCCCACAGTTGGGAGTTGGTTGGAAATTCCACTTGGGGGAGAGGTTTTCCTGGAGCTTTGGTTGGGGGCATGGTGGAGCAAGGCCTTTCGTGTGCCCCTCTCCAGGCTCTTGAGTGAAGTCTGGGGGTGGAGAGGCCTTTCCAGCCAGCCATCCTGACCTCCAGTGTTGACACGCTCAGGGAGACAATGAGATGGGGAAAGCTACTTGGGTGGGTCAAGGGCCCACTTCCCACTGGCATCCCATCTCTTGTGGGACACTCAGTGCAGGAGGGTGGCTGTAGCTCTATGTAGCCGCTCAGTCCTCCACGTCTCTAGAAGCTTTTCCGTGTGTCTTTTCTTGCTGGATCTGGGTTTTCTCCTGATCTAGAACTCGGAAACGTCACCAGGATACCTTCAGACCTTTTCTCTCCTCGAATTCTTGGCCCTGAGTTGTCATGATTTCTTTCTCCGGCTGGGCTTGATTGCTTCTGGGGGTCATGATGCCAACAAGAGGGGTCATGGACAGGTGGCAGTCAGGCAGTTTGTTGAGAGGATCCACCAGCATCTCCTGCTGAGTGTCTCTTACCAAGCACCTTCTGCCCCAGTCACATGTGCCAGCTGGCAGGATGGGGAAAGCCCTTACTTTTGGCACAGGAGCCAGAGTTCTGTAAAGATCAACCCTAGGCTGTAGACCCCACCTGTAGGGCAGGCAGGGTAAGTGTCCTATTGCCCCAATCTTCTGGGCTAATGTTCTGATCCTCAAGCCTGCCAAGGGTGCCCCTTTCTTAGTCCACCTCAGGCACAGTCAAGGTGGGAGGGGAGAAGGCTTCTGGGACACTGGGATGAATGAAGTCAGTGGAAGGCCAAGGGCTGGGTTGGGCTTAAGGCTCTAGCTGGCTGGCTGGCTAGGTGGGGGCAGCAGGTGCAAGTGAAGCCGAGTGGGCTCAGCTGCTCCTGGGTGGCCCAGATGCACTGAGTCCTGCTCAGGGACTTAGGAATTTACCGAATCCTGGAAATAAAGCTACTGCCTCCACTTGGGCGGTGGACGGCTCCCCACTGTCCATGCTGGGACTCCATTCTGGCTGCTTCTCTGGTCTTGTCTCAGTCTTCAGTTCTCCTGTTCAGAGGTTGATGTATGGTCGGTGGTTGAAGGAAATGTTTATTGCTCTGGCCCCCGGAGGCTTTTCCCATTCCAGGTGCCCCACCTCTCCCGCCCCGCCTTAGTCTCCTTGTGGATAGGCCTAAGTTCCTCTAGGAGCCGATGAATGAATCCCTTTCTCTTCCGTGGCTCTTTCGCGAGGGACGGGCTCGCAGTGCAGCGCTCTGCCTCTAGGTGTCGCTGTCTCCCTGCGGAAGTTCCCCCTGAGCAGGGCCTCCTGGGGGGAAGGCGTGAGAAGTGGCAGTTCTCGGTAGAGATGGGAGGATTTTGTGGGATTCTGATCGGGGGACTTAATGGCCTAGGATCGTATTATGTTTTGGGGCAGGATAGAGTGGCGGAAGCCTCCCAGATCACTCCTGGGGTCTTGGAAAAGGCATTCTTGGCTGTAGGCCACGGTTTGGGCTTTTTGTGGGGCAGCATCTGGAGTGAGGGGCTTGGAGAGGACAGGGAGACCATGAAGATGTCTATCATAGAGGAAATCATTTTGGGAGCCTGATTTTGAAAGGATCAAGCAGGCCTCTCCCTGCCCTTCACCCCTGAATCTTCTTCCCTGACCGCCCCCCCCCCCCACCTCCTGCGGACTGGGGTTTGGGCACTCTGGAGGGACGCACAGAGCGGGCAGGACCGATTTCTGCCTGTTCACTTTTGGAGGACCCGGGCTCCACGTGCGAGATAGGTCCAAGGAGGAGCGCGCTTCCCTTCTGCAGTTGACTTATTATTTGGCTTTTAGAAAAAAGTGAAAAAACAGAAAGACAGGGTGAGAGAGTTTCAGGGAGGACAGGAAGAGAGGAAAGAGAGAAAGAGCAACGGGAGGTGACAGAGAGAAAGAGGGGTGGGGGAGGAAATGCAGTTGTTTTCAGTTTTGCTCACGGCATTTGCTTTGGCCGCAGGGGCTGGGGTGGGGATAGTGGAAGACACAGTTCCAGGTGGTGGCCGGCCACCTCCCACTCCCAGGTCAGGCTTGTCTCTGGGTCTTCTCTGAAAGTCTAGTAACTGAAAATGAATAAGTTAGCGGTCCCAGGGGCCTTTTCAGCCCGTGTGTGACCTTGAGTTGTCGTCTCCCTTCTATGGGCCTCAGTTTCCCCAGGGCAAAATCGAAGGGCTGGACTTTGTGGCACCTAAGGTCCTGACATTCTGCCACAGTTAATTAGTTGCTCCTTTTACGTTTGATGAGTGCCTCCGTGGACCTCGGGCTGGAACTGAAGTTGATAGGAGGCCTGGGGAGTATGAACGTGATCCTCCCTTTGCACACCCCAGTAGGCCCTGCAGCCCCCAGTTCTCTGCCGAGGCTGTCACATTCTTCTCTGGCCTCCTGGCGTCTTAGACAGTCTGTGGTCTTGACTGAGGGGCTTCTGGTGTTACTGTGCTTTGCTTCCGGGTCCAGGATGGATGCCGAGGGGTGTCTGGGCGGAGCCAGAAGATAATCTGGTAGAGCCTGGGCAGAATGGTAGCTTGAGTTCTCCTTGGGGTTGAGGAGGGATGTTGGTGTCTTGGGACCAGCAGCCCTCCCTCTGACCTGCTGTGTTGGGGAAGGTGGCATTGAGTAGGCCTTGATGTGCTTTGGAGTACATGGGTGTAAGGTTCCAGAGGGCCTGACCCCCAGCCCTGATCTTGGGTGGGAGACTGTGGCGGCCCTCACTCATGCTTGTCTTCCCTCCCCACCACCCAGACGAGACCCTCCGCTCTTTGGCCAGCCCTTCCTCCCTGCAGGGCCCCGAGCTGCACGGCTGGCGCCCCCCAGTGGACTGTGTCCGGGCCAATGAGCTGTGTGCCGCCGAATCCAACTGCAGCTCCCGCTACCGCACGCTGCGGCAGTGCCTGGCGGGCAGGGACCGCAACACCATGCTGGCCAACAAGGAGTGCCAGGCGGCCCTGGAGGTCCTCCAGGAGAGCCCGCTGTACGACTGCCGCTGCAAGCGGGGTATGAAGAAGGAGCTTCAGTGCCTGCAGATCTACTGGAGCATCCACCTGGGGCTGACCGAGGGTAAGCCCGGCGGGGGGAGGGGTGGGTGGGGGCTGCGGTTCAGAGGGAGGACTAAGTAATGGAGTGAACTATCCAGCTCTCTATCCTTCCCTGCCGGGGGAAACTGGAACCCAGAGGAAGTAGCTGCCCAACCAGGAGGGTAGCCGAGGAAGAGAGGGTGAGGTGGTGGGAGGAGAACAAGGCTGGACAAAGAAGTGCGGAGCAGGGGTCGGGGGAGAGGAAGGAAACCAGGGACAGAAGGACCAATGACCGTGTGAAGCGGTCACAGGAGAAGGTGAAGCAAGAGTCTCGGGCAGATGGAGGAGTGAGAACAGAGGAGAGAAGGGCAGATGTGCGTGTGCAGAGCTGAGCTGCCAGCCCGCCAGCCCGCCACCCCTACTGCCTGGGCACCCACCTGCGGGCTGGCCCTTCCCGCTCTCCCGGGAGGCCTGCCCTTCAGATGGCTCGGGCCCCTTGACTGGCTTAGGCATTTTCAATAGGCCTTGGAGCAGTGGGAGGGCAGCAGGACTGTCCCCATTCTCAAGGCAGAATCTGTAACTCCCCGCCCCACAAGACCACCTCCCCCTCATTTCCTCCCCCGGCAGATTAGAGTGTGGAGAAGCACGAGCAGCTTAAATTCTAAGGTTCGGCAGTAGCGATGGAGGGGCCGAGGTGAAGGAGAGAGAGGGGTGCTCTGCGGACAGTGCCTGGGAGAGGAGAGGAGGTGGGTTAGGGCCCAGCGAGGGCTTAGCCTTGGATCAGAAGAGCAGCCCTGTCTCGGGTGCTGGAAGGAAGGACGAAATGGATCAGGTGCGGAGGCCGGTAGCGAGGGGTTCCCGACCAATGGCCCAAGGTGGTTCAACTGTGCCCTGAATATAGGAATAAGCCATGCATGTAATTATTAATAGTTATCACCACCTTTAATGACAGAGTGATTCCTCATGAATCAGGTCGTCGTTCCTCCCGTTTCTAGCAACCTCAAGTCCTAGAGCCAGAGGTGAGCAGAGAAAGGGGCCCATGCACTTTGTTCTCTGTGACATAGGAGCTGTCTGTGCCCCAGGCTGACTCTGTAGTGCACAGAAAATTAAGGTCCCTGATTCAGTGAGCTGGGTTGTTTAGTTTCTTGTTTTCTTTCCCGCAGCCTGCCGTTTTAATCCAAGGGGTATCGGGCAGTAGATTGGGGTGGGCTGCTGTGTGCTGCAGAATGCACGGGGGAGGGGACAGAAGAACTGCCAGCCAGAAGAGCCAGGTGGGCCACCTGAGCACCTTCGCATCTGGTGGGCTCCCTCTGACGTCAGGCATCAGAGCATGGAAGACTTTCTGATTGTAGCCAAGGCAGTGAGGCGTTTGCATGATAATAATAAGCATAATGTGCATTTATGCTGCGGACTTCCCTGTGGCGCTGTTCCAAGTCTTGAGATGGTTTGTTGGTTCATTTACCCAACGAACATCTGTTAAGCACCTACTATGCGCTTCAGAGGGTGATAGCATGAAGGAGCCACCGTCGGTCCCTGTGCCGGCCAGCAAGCAGGCTGGGAGGCCCTACCCCTGGGCCCATCTAGGAAAGCAGATCCCCTGATTTCCTCATTCCTCAGAACCCTCCCCCACTCCAGGATCCCACAATCCCCTCCCCCTGGGTCTTGTGGGGCAGAGGTAGTTTCTGCCCAGGGCTGACCAGGGGAAGCTGAGAGGCCTTTTAATAGCAGGTAATGTTCCTGTGAGTGAGAGGATCTACCTGAGAGTTAATTATTCATAGTGTGGCGGAAGTGGTCCGTAGCACTTTCTCCCTATTCCTTAATAACGCCTGATAACCTGGCGTGGGCCTGGGTGGGGTGGGGGGATTGGGAGAGGAGAGGCTTGTGTGGGTGTGCACTTTGATTCTGGGCTTCTCCTTGGCCTTCTCCTTGGCTGGTGGGTGAAAGCCCCCTGGAGACTTGGCCCCACACCTCTCTCTCTTCCTGAGGCTGCGGCCCTCAGCAAGTGGAAAGAGCTCGTGGTGGCAACAATGTGGTGTCTACTGAGCTCCTAGACAGTTCCCACTGGAAAGGATCTGGAGGTATTTGGTCTCGCCCCCAGTTTGATGGGGAAGCCGATGTGCAGGGAGGCGGGGTGGTACCCCAGGGCACACAGCAAGCCAGTGGCGGGACAGGCCCTGAACTCCTCATCCAGCCCCTTTCCCCTGACCTGGGGGAGGTCCTGTCGCCTTGGGCCATCTTCCCCTTCCATCTTCACCACCACCATCGCCGCTGGTGTTGACAGGTGGGGCTGGTACTGTTGGCTGCATGGGGGACTTGAGACAAGGCTTCTTGCCTTCTCCAAAAGTGACGCTGAAGTTCAGGGTCACCCTGGTCCTTCAAATGTGAAAAGTCAAGGCCTCTTCCATGTGGCCCAGGAACCTGATGTCCTGATTTGGCTTCAGCCTGGCTGCCGAGGGTGCCCGAGTGGCCAGGCTTCGGCTTTTCCGCTGGTGAATTCTGTTGACCTAAATAGGGTGGGCCCCTCCCAGCCAGTCCCAGGAGGGGCTGTTTTCCCTCAGAGACCCCCTAGCCAGTCATACTTGCGGATCTGTACCCAGGTGCAAAGTCACACCAGATGCAATAGGGAAGGACAGGGCCCACTCTGGGCGAGCGGTCCAGATGGCAGAATACTGACCCTGTGAAGAATTAAACTACAGCAGTACCTGGGTGAGAACAGTTCGGTTTCAATAGCACTTTATTTTTGGAGACAGCATTCATAATGGTTAAGTACTTGGACTCTGTCGCCATCTGCCTGGGTTTGAAGCCTGGCTCTGCCACTTGACCTTTGGGCAAGTTACTTAGCGCCTCTGTGCCTCAGTTCCTCATCAATAAAATAGGGAGACTGATGGTGCTTACCTCAGAGAGAAATTAAGAGGATTAAACGAGTTAGGACATCTCAAGCACTTTCAGTAAGGCTGGCCTGTGGAAAGCACAGTGTAGCACCGTTTTTATTATAAAAGTGCTTGCTACAGTCTTATGGTATTTGGCCTCAACAGCTTGCACTGGCTGGTGATCCCACCACAGGGAGTTTCTCCAGGGCTGGTGGGTAGAGTGGAAGACATGGATCACTTAGCCCCAGGGAGAAGCGGGGCGGGGCTGGAGACAGGCCTGAGGGAATGAGTAACATTTGGATCAAGTCGATCGCAAATGCCCCTGGGACGCCCAGTGTGCACAAGGCTGTATGTCGGGTGCTGCAGGCCATGAGGGGTGCTGCTGAGGTAAAGTGAAGGGTAGGCCGTTTCTCCAGGGGCAGTGCTCTTCCTGTGTTATCTGGGGGTCTGTACCCTTTTCTGGGGGTCTGTACCCTTTTCTGGGGGTCTGCTGCTATAGCAGACAGATGCCTTGCTCTGTGCACCAGCAGAGGGCTGGTTACACCTCCAGTCCCAGTCTCTGGGGTGACCTCAGGCCTTGCTGACGGGGTCCCCCACAGGTGGATTCTCAGGCCCGCTTCTGGATGGCTGGCACCTTCCTGCAGTGGCCCCCATGGAGGCCACCCCCATGGGCTTCCCTTAGCCGGGCCCTGGGTAGGTGGGAGATGGCTGTGTGGGGCGGGTCATCGCTGTCCCCCCGCCCCCCGCCCTCCAGCACACAGACAGCCTGAGTGATTATCCATTGATCTGTCCTCATGGTAATGTCTCAGGAGGATATTTCCTTTCTTGAGAGGCATTGGCAGAGGGGGCGGGAGTCCGGTGAGGTGGAGGGGGTCTGTAGGGCAGCCCTGTGCCATTTGTCTTCTGTCACTCCCTTGCTTTTCCTTTGCCGGGCCTCTGTGTACCCGAAGCCTCAGGAGAGGTCTGAGAAGCAGCAGGGGTGGGCGAGACAGGTAGGGGGTGCAGGAGCGGGTCAGGCTGACAGGAGCCAGGCGTCAGGCCTCTGCTCAGCTGACCTTTAGCCCTCCAGCCAGATTCTTCTGGTGTCATGATGGGAAGCCAAGAGGACATTCTGTCCCCTCAAGCGGTCGGGGGCAGAGCCAGCCTGGTATGATGGGAGAGAGTGCCGGAATGAAGGCAGAGAGACCAGAGTCCAGCTCTAGCCCTGCCGTGAGTAGCTGTGTGATCTCAGGCAGGTTGCTTCACGTCTCTGGGGCCTCTCCTGTGAAACGAGGATGTTGTAGTGAGTGATCGGACCTGGGCTTCCTCAGGTTCTCATGGTTCCACCTCCCCTGTGCCTTCTTCCCAGAAGTATTTAGCGGTCTTTAGAAGAGGGCTGGTCGTGCTGGGAGGTAGAGAGAGAGAGGGAGGGAGGGGGAGAGAGAGAGAGTGAGAGCGAGAGAGACAAGGAGAGAGAGAGAGAGAGGAGAGAGAGAGAGACAGGGAGAGGTATTCAGCAGTCCAGCCTGCTCTGGGGGACCTTAGCTGGAGGAAATAACTCCCCCATGATGGGAAGCCAAGAGGACATTCTTGGCTTGTGACGTGAATGTGACGTGCTCCACATTCACTCGCCACCTGCCCCTTCACTTTGGGCAGGGGCACCTGTGCCTGATGCTGTTCTCTCTTGCAGGCGAGGAGTTTTACGAGGCCTCGCCCTACGAGCCGGCGACCTCCCGCCTCTCGGACATCTTCAGGCTTGCTTCGATCTTCTCAGGTAAGTGGGCTGGCGCCGGGGCCTTGCTGGTTCTGCTCTCGTCCCCGGCATGGTGGATCGAGCCCTGGGCTTGGCCCAGGCGTCCTGCAGGCCCCCTCCCGTTTCTGAGCCTCAGGTCCTCATCTGTAAACAAGGAGCCATAGCACCCACCCCCAGGGCTGTACATGGAGTACGGCATTTATGGGAGTGAGCCTGCCGGGTAGCAGGTCTTCAGCCTGAATCCTGACGTCACTCTCCTGCTCTGTCACCTGTCTTGTCCTGCTGGGTTCTTCTTTCTCTTTCCCCGGCTCTTCCGCTTTGGGGCTCTTTTACTTTGGTGGAGCTGCCCAAGCTCTTTGTGCCTCAGTTTCCTCAGTTGTGCAATGGAGAGAGAACCTGCATTATGGTTCGTGAGGTCTGAAGGACCCAGTGGTGGTAAAGAGCTCAGTGTGCTGCCGGGTGAGCGTTCAGGAAGCATTAGCTGTGGTCGTTGCCGTTAGTGTCGCTGCTGTTCATTCTGGGTCCCCCCTCCCCTGCGGGCTCCGCTCCTTGCACCCCACCGAGGAGGGGTGTGAGGGAGGGCTCTGATCCCCGGCCACTCCCACTTCGCCTGCGTTGGGGAGTGAGGGGGCGCAGGTTGAGCTCCAGTGTTACTTGCTGTGATCCACATGTAGGAGCCCGATGAGTTTTTTGGTTCTGCCTTCTTGGCCTTGTTCCCTCTGTCGCTGGGGGGACCAGCGGGCAGCCTGCCCCTGCTTTGGCACTGGGGAGGGGCTCTGGTCTTTGGAAGTGCTCTGTTGGGGCTGAGAGTGAGCTCGTCCTGGAGTCACCACTGGTGCTCAAAGGTGGCAGGGTGGCTGTTCCCGGGGATCCCGGTGTATGGGGCCCCAGGCGTCTGGATGGTTTTGTGGTATTTGAAGCCTTCTGAAGTTTTTCTTGCCCTAAACCACTATTGACATTTTGACCTGGGTAATTCTTGTGGAAAGAACAGTCTGTCCTGTGCATTATAGGATATTTAGCAGCGTCCTTGGCCTCTGCCCACTGGATGCCAGTAGCACCCCCTCCCCAAGTGGTGATAACCCAAAATGTCTCCAGCCACTGCCAGACGGTACAAGTGCTGCCAGTTGAGAAGCGGTACTCTGAACGGTGACACAAAAGACTCTCCAGTAAAACCCTAAGTCCTTTCAGATGAAGAATTCTCTAGGACAATGCCGCTCAAACTTTTTTTTCTTATTATTACCCCGCCTAAGGAGAAAACTTAATTCCCTCTAACTAAAGAAATACTGCCTTAGTTTGCTTGGGCTGTCATAATAAAAGATCATAGACTGAGTGGCTTAAACAATATAAATTTATTATCTCACAGTTCTGGAGGCTGGAAGTTCAAGATCAAGGTCCAGCAGGTTTTGTCTCTGGTGAGAGCTCTCTCTCTGACTTGCAGACGGCCACCTTCTGACTCCACATAGGCTGGGGTGGGATGGGACAGGGCAGGGGGAGATCTCTTCTTGTTCCTATAGGGCCACAATCCTATTGGATCAGGGCCCCACCCTTATGACCTCATTTAACCTGAATTACCTCCTAAAAGCCCTCTCTCCAAATCCAGTCACGTTGGTGGTTACGGCTCTTCCAGGTGCATAATTCAGTTCGTAGCAAATGCCGGGGGTAAAATTTTGTCAGATGAGATCGAGTTTTGTAGGGCCATAAACCATTGTAATATCTATTTTTTTTTTCTTTGTCGAAGCAAGAACCAAGTTTTGTTCCATTGGGGGAGGTCCCCTTCTCTCCTGTTGAGAGTGCACGTCTAAGGCATTGAGACGGGATGATGTGCACGTGGCAGAAACCCTGGCCCCCCATGCGGAAGGAGGTGTGGACTAAAGGGTGCCCGTTGTGGGCACGGCCCTGTGCCCTGGGGCCCTGGCGGCGGTGGGGAATGGAGTGGAGGGTTCCTGTTAAGCTCCCTGTCCCGGGCTCTCTCTGTCATCGCCGCCTAGCGGGGTGACGCAGAGGTGTTGGGCTCCGGCTCTGCCTGTGGACACTGTGATAACACGTGGTAAGCCTCGCCCATCTGACAAGGCTACGCTGGGTAAGGGGCTGACCTGGGTCTCTTTGATTTGTTTTGGATGGAAATCCACCTTGGATCACGCCTTTGAGACAGTGCTCGGGGCCACAGACACGGGTGGCAGATACCGTTGGCATGTAGGTACAATGGTGGGGGTGCCCTCGTGGCCCTGATGTACCCATTTCCCACCCTACCCGTAGCTCAGTACGGCTGCATGGGCGGGTGCCACTGAGTTGACCTCCAGCAAAGAAAGGGCTTTGGCTTGCTCTCTGAAGGTTGAAGGTCAGAGGTCCTCACCTTAGCCAGGGAAGCCCCTGCTGCTTCCTAGACTCACATTAAGTATCTTCTCAGCAGAAAATCTTTATGGAGTGAACTTGACACTCTGTGGGACAAGGATGTTGACAAGACAAATGAGGAACTGACTGGGACTGGAGTTCACTGAATCAGCTTCCTCTACTGCTGCCCTGATGTAACCGGGCACAGACAACCCTGGAAACCCAGGCTCTGGGGACTGCCCACCACAGTGAGGGCCAGGCTTCGGGGTCTGTGGCAGGTCCCTTCTCATCGCCCCTGTCGGCCCTTCTCCACCCAGACCAGCCCTAGAGCTGGCACATAAGTGGCTCTGTGTGGGAAACTTGGGCGCATGGCTGGCTGGGGAGTCCTTGGCTCCACCACATGGCAGGGTGGGGAGGCCTTGGCCCGGCCACGTGGCGGGCTCTGCAGGGAGAAGGCGGGACGGAGAGCTGGGAGGCCTGGGTTCCAGTGCATTCTCTTACGTTTCCTTCCTGAAGGAGGAAGACGTGGGCTTGGAACAGTGCTCCCCAGCCTTCACTCATTAGGGTCCCAGACAGCAGCAGTATTTTTCTGTCACATGAGCTCGGGCGATCGCAGGCCCTTGCCTGGCTGCCCTGTGGGCCGAGGGGTCAGTATCTGGGCACATGGTCACCCGCCTATAGCTTGCTGGCTGGGAAAGTCTTGCCTGAGTGACCCAAATCCTGCACTGATGCTTTGGGATAATAAAGCTGCCTCCTTGTAGGGCTGAGACCCTTCCACTTCCACACACCCGTAATTGGCTGTATGCTACCTCTCTACCACCTCGGTACGGAAAAGCCGGGGGTAGGGCGTGAAGTGTTGGCGGCTCTCCCCTAGGCCACACTGCCCTCGATTGGGACCTCCGGACCCCGAGAAGGGTGCCGTTATATCTGTGGAGCTCAGTTGCTACTTCCTCTTTACCATCTACTGTCTGAGAATTCGGGGCTCTGGTGCAGGGCCTCCCGGAACGTGGGTCCTTCTTCCTCTCTGGCCTTCTCTGCTGGAGTTCTTGGAAAGTCCTCCTGGGATTCTGTTGGCAAAGAAGGCTGCCAGGAGTCCCTCAACGCTCTCTGACTCCAGAGTCCCTGGGGAAAGGGCTGTCCACCCCTCCTCTCTGCCCAGTTAGGACACAGGCCCTAGATTCAGTGACTGGGCCTGAGATTCCTGGTGTCTAGTTAGTCCCAAGTTCAAGGCCGGGAGGAGAATAGTCTGGGTCTGCCCTGAAGCACTGTGACAGTAATGTGGGAAGCATCTGAGGTCCTTCCCTAGCTTTACAGATGAGAAGGGAGATTTTGTGGAGAAGTGAGGTTTATCCCATTTCTAGCAACTCAGACTACCCTTGGAAACACGATGAAACGAGTGGTTAGTGCACCACACGCACCCGGTCCCACCTGGTCCATGGGAGGCGTGTGGGCCTTGAGCCATGCAGTCCTGGGTTTGAATCTTGACTTGTCCTTTATGGCCTTGGAGCAGTAGTGCCTATATTCGTCAAATGTGAGTGTGATACCTGCTAACAGGGTTGATGAGGAGGATTCAAAGACCGTGGGTATAGGAAGAGTGACCGTGAGTCATCCTCTCTCTGCCAAGGATGTTTACTCGAGGCAGGGTGGCTTCTAGAGGGGATGCAGGGGTGGCAGAGCTAAAGTCGTCCCCAGGTGTTTGTGACCCTGTGACTGCTGAATCCCAGCTGGTCCCATCTGGGGAGGCAGGGGAGGATGGAACAAGGTGGAGAGAGGAGAGAAAGGCTTCTTCGAGCAGGAAGAGCGCATCCAGGCAGAGACGGGATGTGGAGGGGCGACATCGGAGCGAGGGAAGTGGAAGTGGCCCGTGCACCTGGAGGGAGGGCGGCTGGCCATCGAGGTGAGGACAGAGGGCCTTGGTGGGCCAGGCAGCGGTTTTCCTCACAGCCGTGGGGACAGGGAGAAGCGGCAGGCAGGTGGCTCCTGCTTGGCCATCACAGGCGCTGCCTCGGCATCCTTGGGGAGGGGCTGGGCCTCAGGGCCTCCGGTGTCCAGTGCAAGTGTTGCCAGGTGCATGGGTGTAGAACATGTTGAAACGAGGTGAGGACAGAGGGCCTTGGTGGGCCAGGCAGCGGTTTTCCTCACAGCCGTGGGGACAGGGAGAAGCGGCAGGCAGGTGGCTCCTGCTTGGCCATCACAGGCGCTGCCTCGGCATCCTTGGGGAGGGGCTGGGCCTCAGGGCCTCCGGTGTCCAGTGCAAGTGTTGCCAGGTGCATGGATGTAGAACATGTTTAGGCAAACATGTCTTTTCTACAGCTGGAAGGGAACTTAGAGATCATCTGGGCCCATCCCTTCTGACAGAAAGGGAAACTAAGGCCCAGGGAGATGGTACAGACCTAAGTGGAGGCTCACGTCCTGGTTCTGCTCTTGCCCAGCATGTACCTCAGCAGGCGCCTCACCTCCAAGCCCGTTTCCTCTCGCATAACGTGGAGCTGACAGAAACCCCTACCTCCCAGGGTTTTGTCAGGACTGGATAGGATCCCGCAGGGGCGTGCTTGGCCCAGGGCCTGGGATATCGCACCAACACATGGAACTATTAACACTTCCTAGGGAGTTAGTTCTCCAGGTCGAATGGCAGGCTGCGGCAGGGCAGGGCCGGCCCAGAGCCTGGCATTTGGGAAACACATGCTTTT